CTATATATAGATGTCTCAATATAATGTAGCTTGTTTTTGACATGTTACACACCAACCATTACAATATTTATATTACTGTGCCACAAGTTTCTACTTTGCTGTGGAAATGCATATATAGCAACGGTGCCTTTGAATGGTGTTTGCAATTGTATGAAAACCAATCTAATTGCCCAATACTTTGTTTTAATATTGGTTTACAGTGGCAGCATTCTGTACTGGTATGTAACTTTCATATTTGAGACAGTGATTCAAACCATCTGAAATTCTTGGTACGCGAAAAAAAAAAATACGCAAACATGGTTTTTAAATGCTTAAAAACAATTCAGGAAGAGGAATGTTTTCAAGAGTTTAAATTGGGATGGGTGTTAAGACAGGAGAGACCTCAAAAACAAAGAGACCCGAGACCCATTTGATTTTTGTATCTCAGTAAAAAAATTAAAAAAAAATTAATAAAAAATAAAAGACACCCAGGCAAACGAAAAAGAGACCTCGAAAACATATATTTTGTTTATATTGTTACGTTATTAATTATTATTATATTTACTTAACGATAATAATTTGTTTACCTTTTTGTTTCATTTTCCTTAAAAATTACTGTGGGTTTTCGTTACATGCGCTTTTTTAAAAAACGAAATACGAAAACATATACCCGACAGATATACGAATACGAAAACAGAGACCTAGGCTAGGTCTTATGTTTTCGAGTGGGTCCCGGGTCTTTAGTCTCGGTCTTAATACTTTTAAAAAATGTACTTTTTTCATATTGTTAAGAATCAAAAATATTGAAATCCTTAAATTGTCATAGCTTCCGGAAGCTTTGTCTCCCGACCCCTTCCGAGGGATTTTGATCAACGCCCGACCATGCCAACTTACGCTCTCCGTCGGTTACATTGGACGAAATGGTCGATGAATGGATGCCGTCAATGCGAGTAGGGTCAGTCTGAATGGCGGCAATCATACGAGGTGGGGATGTGGCAGTAGGGGTAATGAGGGTGGTGGCCTATGAGTGTTTGTTGGACATATCCAACGAACATGTAATGATGATTTACTCACAGTAGGATAAAATAATCAGGATTAAGTGGCATTCAAATCGTACCCGAACGAAAATGCGGACCACATTCCCGGTGCACTGAACGAAACGGCCCTAATCTTATATTATACTGACTTTTTGAACGGTTCGGTAAGGCCTTCCAATCTGAAATTCTGGTTCGGTGTGAAAACGCACCTCACATTTTTAGTCAGATTTGAGCATTGAGTCCGAACCATACACCAAGTAGCCCTACATGCTTTATCGTGGCGGTTTAACATTCAATATAAAAAGTAGTGCTTCATATAACAATAGAATGTCGTCTGAACAACGTAACATTAATAATATCAAATCTCATGGTCACGGGCTTACGTGCAGCTAAACCGATGTTTTTTGTAAATGAAAATAGGCATATCATAATGAATTATTAATTTTAAATAATAAATTGACATAACCCTACCTGTTGATCCTCTGCTCTAGATTTGTCTTCCTATGCCATGCTATCTGCTAATTGAGTTCATCAACTGTGTGTATTTTAATAGTTTGACTAACTACACACGAATTTCCAGCCCTAATTTTCAATATAATAACATGAACGTGTGCGATGATCAATAATATTTTAAGCATTCCAGGCCCTAGTTTAAAATCAATAAAGGACAGATGTTTCAGATGACGTCATCAAAAAACATGCAAAATACTGAAAGTAGCGGGTATGTATCAACGAATACAATGAATGTTCAAAATTAATGTAGATTAACCGTGGTATGTAATTATGAACATACAGCAAAATTGTTTTCCAACACTATACATTACAAAACGTACCGTGCATTAACAAGTGTTATATTAATACGGTATAGACATCACACATTTAAATTAACATTCGTAGTATGATACTTTAGTGTAATTAGGATTTTAATCATTTATCATACGCATTATTACGATATATCATTCAATATTAGCATCCATGTGTTTCTGTAAAAGTAATATAATTTATTTTTAAAAAATGACAATATCACACATTTCATTTGGACTTTATTATCATATATCCATTGTTACTTCACTTCGAATTTAATAAATCGTAATTCATATGGAATTTCAATCCATTACATGATTTCTAATATAATACTCATTCATGATATGTGTAGTAGTACATCCCATAATACTGTTTTAAAAACAAATGTCTAATCATTTACTTATAGAACTTAAATCATAGCAACATAATAATGTTATGTTGTATTAATTAAATTCGTGTTGATGTTATATATTAAATGTAAATTTGATTACAAGATGCAAGATGTCATTATTTTCATCAGCAAAATAAGATCATTGTAACTCATTCGTAAGTAAATTCAGTTAGAAGTACAACAAATCCACGTTATCAGACAGTGTGCCAAAACTCCTATTAATGATACAATTTGACATTTTTGATATATACATTGTGTATATATATATATATATATATATATATATATATATATATATATATATATATTAATATTCATATATTTGATATATATATAAAG